GTGATGGTGGTGATGATGGTGGTGGTGGTGATGATGGTGGTGGTGATAATGATGGTGATGATGATGTTGGTGATGGTGGTGGTGATAATGATGGTGATGATGGTGATGATGGTGGTGGTGATGATGATGGTGATGGTGGTGATAATGATGGTGATGATGGTGGTGATGATGGTGGTGGTGATGATGATGATGATGATGGTGGTGATAATGATGGTGATAATGGTGATGGTGATGATGGTGATGGTGGTGGTGGTGGTGATGGTGGTGGTGATGATGATGGTGGTGATGATGGTGATGAAGATCTATCTGTGTGCAGGTGAGGAGGTAAAGGATGGAGGCGGAGACATTCTGGAGAAGAAAGGTAAATGCCTCCTAGAGTCAGACTAGATTCAGAACCAGGTTCAGGTTACCTGTGTGTCCACTTACTGGACTGCAGGTAGACAAGTCTCTGTCTGTTGTTTCAGAGGAGAAGGTGAAGGACTACCGGTACTACCTGAGAATGTGGGCCAAAGAGAAGGAACCCAAGACGGAGACCATCAAAGACCTGCCCAGGATGAACCAGGTGAAGAGATCTGGTTCAGTGTGTGTGTGTGTGTGTGTGTGTGTGTGTGTGTGTGTGTGTGTGTGTTAAAATGTGTGCGTGTGTGTGTGTGTGTGTGTTAATATGTTTGTGTGTGTGTGTTAACATGTTTGTGTGTGTGTGTGTAGGAGCAGTTCATCGACCTGTGTAAGACCCTCTACAACATGTTCAGTGAGGACCTTCTGGAGCAGCAGCTCTATCATTCCATCGCCACCGTTGCCAGCCTGCTGCTGCGTATCGGGGAGGTCGGCAAGAAGTTCAACAATGGCGGCCGGAAGACGGACGAAGCCGCCACTCAGGCTCCGTCCACCGAGGGTCAGAGGGAGGAGTCAGGTGAGTCCCAGGTGCGTCGAGCTTTGGCCGACGCTCAGCTGGAGCCGGCGGCTCCAGACGAGGAGATCAAAGACGACACGTCGCTGTCGTCGTACTCCGTGGTGAGCTCCGGATCGCTGCAGTGCGACGATATCGCCGACGACACCGTGCTGATCGGCGGTCAGAGGCAGGGCAGTGTGCTGGATGTCGATTGGTCGATCACCTTCGAACAGGTGCTGGCGTCGCTGCTGACGGAGCCGCCGCTCGTGGACTACTTTGAAAAGAAGAGGGACTTCCAGAACAAGATGGCCGCCTGTAAGGCTCAGAGGGCGGTAGAGCGTCAGACAAGCTCCGCCTCCGACCACGAACTTGCCTCCTCCACCACCTGACTCACCTCCACCACCTGACTCACCTCCACCACC